CCACGGACTACGCAGCCCTAGTTGAGCTGCTGCTTAATCACGGGGCTGATCTGGAATGTGAGGATGGCCGTAAGCGCACGCCTCTGCTGTGTGCTGCTGCAGCGGGACACTACTCCATTGTTCGCCTATTGCTTGGGAGAGACGCCGGCGACGATGGTGAGGTGAACGGTAGGAACTATGCCAGGGTGGATGCCAGCGATGGGGACGGGCGGACGTCCTTATCCTGGGCCGCTGAGCAAGGGTATAGCACTATCGTCATGCTGCTTCTGAAGGAGGGCGCCAACATTGAATCGGCGGACAACAGTGGTCGAACGCCGCTGTCGTGGGCCGTCTGGAACGGACGAGAGGCCATGGTCGAACTGCTACTCAGAGAAAGGGCTAACATTGATGCGCAAGACAAGATAGGCTGGACACCGCTGTTGTGGGCTGTAGTGAGAAGACACGAGACGATCGTCGAGTTTCTCCTCCGGCAAGGTGCTGAGACTGAAAAGAAAGACAAAAGAAATGGTTGGACACCGCTCTGGTGGGCTGCTCGGATGGGCCATATGGCTATCTTTCAGCAATTACTCAAGAGGAAAGCCGATGTGAATTCCAAAGATACGTGTGGCCAGACTCTTTTGGCCTGGGCTATTCGAAATGGGGTTGATGATGTCGCTCAATTATTATCTGAGGAGCGAGCGCAACTCCCTTCCACCATATAGAGAGCGGAGACATCCTTGGATAAATTCCAGCTGGCCAGGCGTGTCTATAACATGTGTAGGAGCAACAGACAGGGTGCAAAAGTGAGCGAACACTGATCTCGCACCGACTTCACCACAGTCAGCAACAACAATAAAGAAATTGAGTGTATTCAGCAGTCCTGAATATACCGGCCGCGGGAAAAACGGTGTCGTCCAATATACCGGCCGCAGGAAAAACGGTGTTGTCGTTCCGTTTGTCGTTCCGTGGTACGCACCCCAATACTCTGGACCAATAATTCTGAAGAGCCATATTTTCCGACAGCTGATTCTTTCCCGGCTTGTTGGAGTTTTCTGGTTGATCCATCTTCCCTGGCTGCTTACATTGTGTCTAATCTAATGCAGCGCTTTCTAGGAAGGAAGCTTGAAAGTCGAATGTGCGAGGATAAATTTAAGGATTTGTTTTGTAATGGATACAGCTGGCAGTTTATGCAATTGCGTAAATATGTGCCTAGTTAGGTGGCTTCTGTCTGAAACTTTGTCTGGCACTACCGTTCCTGCTGAAGCCATATTGGATGCCTATGTGTTTACAATAGAAGAAGAGTAAGCGCATGTATGTGGTTATGCACATATATATGGCTGCTAAGCATTAATAAGTACATATCTAAATTAAGTCATGTGCATGTTAATGCGAATGCGATAAAATGCAATCCATGCCACTCTTTGGGTAATAAAGTTGCCAATGAGTCTTAAACCCTCG